AGTGTGTGTACTGTGTGTGTACTGAGTATCGCGTGTGGGACATCCAGGGTGATCCAGAGTGTGAACAGTGAGTGTTTGAGGCGCACAGTCGCCATGGCCAGTGGAAGCGAACTTACCTAAAAGACATATCTCTGTGTACTGTGTGGGCGCAAGTCACCAGTTGTGTGCTGCTGTTCACGTGCCTGAAAAGTGTGAGTAAGTCGAGTCTGATTGCAAGAGGCCCTTCATCCTCTCCGCTCTGCCATCTTCCCTTTCCTCTCGCTTTGTTCGCTCCAGAAATAAAACAAGCATTGCCCATCTTCTTCTTCTAAGCTTTCTCTCACGGGGGCAGCAACTCCAGCCGAACTTGAACTGAACCGAGCTGAGGCAAACTGAACCGAGCCGAGGCAAGCCGAGGCAAGCCGGCGCAAGCCGAGCTTGAGCTTGTCTGCAATCTCCTCACTCGTCTTCATAGTCCTGTCTCTCCTGCGTCCCGAACCTCCTACTGCTGCTCATTTGCCAATTGCACTCTGACTCGACGTTCCTCACTCGTCTTCATAATCCTGCTACCGTGCATGCTCCGGATTGAGGTCTGTTGGGACGAGCCTCCATTTCGGGCAGCCTGGCCCGATCGCCGACTCCTCATGACTATAGGCTTCTTCTTCTACCACAGCCTTCCTCTTCCACCATAGCCTTCTTCTTACTCCGCATCGTGGTCATCCTCGTCGTCCTCACTGTGCATTTTGCTGTCTTGTTCTGCTGCCACGTAGCCTGTGCTCGTGTACCCCACTGTCAGCCGCGATCGCCATCCCTGCTCTTGGCGGAAGAATCATATAGCGCGCAGTCAATTGTAGGTCCTGGAACGAAAGGCAGAAAGAAGAGAGTGTGGAGTTTCCGTGAAGATGAGAGGAGGAGGTCGATCTACGCCGTTGGCGTTGACACGTGGACTACAGCTGCTGCTTCTGTCATTGACACTGTTATGCCTGGCAGTGTCAGGTAATGGCGGCGCGAGCACCGCGGCTGGCGGTTTCCGCTCAGCCTGGATGACGCAGGAGACTCATCTACGCGCAGCAACGGCGTGGAAAACGAAGACGGTCCTGCGACTGACTGGCGATGTCGGCCTGACACGTGACTTGGGACCGATGACATGTCCTGATTTGACGGTCATTGGCAGCTGCAAGACGCGATCTGGCCATCCCAGAAGATGCAGGATCGACAGCCGAAAGCGGCTCAGCGGAATCATCGGTAGCGGTCAGACCCTTACTCTGGACAATCTGGAACTAACGGGTTTCGTCGGGACCTCGACGCGCAACCTGTATATCCTTGGAAATTTCTTCCACATCGCCACCATCTCCAACTGCCTTGTATCCGGTAATGTCAATCTCGCTGGCACCGGGGTCATCGACCTCGTGGGCACGGCCGCTGTCGTAGTCAAGAACTCGCAGTTCGTCCGTAACAAAGGGAAGATGATTTATATCTCGTACACCGATCTGACAGCCACCAATGTCCTCTTCCGATCGAACGAAGGAGGACCGTTGATTAGCTATCTCAGGGTGTCAGTAACGTGCGTTGAATGCAGATTCGAGGGGAATAAGGCGGCGGAGGGGGCGGCGGTTCTCGTGGCTGATTACGGGGCTGTCCTCTTCTCTCGGTTGTCGTTTGTCGGCAATTTCCTGACGAGGGTGGGGGCCAGAGGAGGCGCAGTCCATGTTGCCTCAGCATTCGGTGCACTGACTGCTAGATTCTGCAACCGCGTCTTCAGAGGGAACACCATAGCTCTGCCAAGCGGGAAGAAGATGACGGAACACGTGTACCTCGAGCCCACCACCTCTCACACTGTGTCTTTTTGTAAGAAGAGACCGGCGATTGGAATCAACGGTAATCATTCCCATGCCATCGATTCCTGTGAGGGCTGTCCTGCCTAAGTGAGGACGTATTCACAGTGTCACTAGGTAGGACCTTTTTCTGCGCATTCTGGTCGTGATTGCTGTCTGATGCATCCGGATCCAGTCATAATTGCGGTCAGGTCATATACATTTAGGGAAGTGGTAGTGTGAGTATGCCCTTACTTTCAGGATACCAGGATGTATTCACACAAGGTAGGAGCTTTTTCTGCGCGTTTCTGGACGTGATTGCTGTCAGATGCATCCGAATTCAGTCATAATTGTGGTCAGGTCAAATACATTCACGAAAGTGGTAGTGTGAGTCTGCCCTTGGTTTCAGGATACGTCCCCGGTCAGCGATAACTACCGTAGGGCATATCTACATTAGTATCGTTCTTCAGCCGAATATATCGCCCAGTCATTATAGCTGTATTTGGTAAAGCTTTCAGTCTGTATACAGAGATAACGACGGGCGTTCTATTCCGGTGAAGATAGTGATCGCCATCACACACATCATGTCCAGCCATTATAATCTTTTTGGTCTTATAAATTCATGCATGTGGCAGTGTACGTATGGCGTTAGTCTGTTGGGAAAGTTCGATGAATGATGTCCAGGGCGTTGTTCTTCTTCTTTAATAAATTCAGAAAGAAGAAAACTTGTTCGGGCTAGGGGTTCTGAGCATTCGAAAAGAGGTCAGTAGTCATTCATAGTTTTTCAACCTCTTTTTAATCCTCTTGAATTTCTTCAATAGTTCTTAGATTGATTCTCAGCCGAAGCCGGGTAATGGCCCCAGTATCTCAAATGACTTGTGTAACTCTATATGGGAAACTGGGCCCGGTTCCCAGCACGTGCTGCTCCCCACGAATAGACTGGAGCWTTTGTCCCCAAAAAAAAAAAAAAAAAGTTCGGGATCTGGTCAGTCATCGTCCATGAGCGATGGAATTGTTGAGTATGCAATCAACCCAAATCGAGTCTAAGAGATGGACTGACGTATTTAAACAACTTCCTTCGGCTTCAGAAGTCCGCCTTCAGACTTTCGAGGTCACGGCATTTCACAGAATGTTGTGACGACTCTCTTCGTTGATTGTCTTTTCTCTCCTCCTCCTCCTCCTCTCTCTCTCTCTCTCTCTCCCAACGACATAGTGGTGTGGCCTTTGCGGGTACAGCAGCAGCGGAGATGGTGGCTCTGCTGGAGTAAGGCTTTCCCGAGTGAGGTAAAGAGGATTGATGGGGGGGTTCTGAGTTGTTTTTGAACTTTGCCTAAATTGCTGTCATGGCCTCAGTTTCTCAAACTTTTATACTTCTATGTACATTTCCATATGGGACGCTGGGCCCGGTTCCCAGCATGTGCTGCTCCCCAGATTAAAAAGAAAAAAAAATTAAAAAAAATGCATGAACCGCATGTGTGGATCGACCTGAGCACCTGTGTTACCGCGCGCTGATTGAGCGCGGGGTCGGAGCTCAAATTTTTGAGCTCCGCTCAATCCCGCGCTCAAAAGCGCCTGAGCGAGCTTTGAGCGGGCGCTGGAATATTTTTTCCCTCTGAAAAGAATGAGCATAAAAACAAAACAAAAATACAGGGTTGTAGATATTTTTTAGATCTACAACGCTATGTTTTTTATTTTATTTTTTGAACCTCTTCTATATTTTAAAAAAACCTAAAACGTAAAAGAAAGAAAATAACAGAACAAAAACAATATGAAATGGATGGGTTTTTCGTTTTTTTCACAGAGATTTTTTTGCAGGCAAAAAATTAGCAAAATAAATAATAAAAAATATAGTCTTGCGGATATTTTGGAAATCTACGACCCCATTTTTTTTATTTTATTTTTTCTAAATACGCATATATTTTAAAAAATAAAAAACATAAAAACGAGAAGAAAAGACACACAGACCCCGCCCAGGCCGGGCCTGCCCACACAGACACATGAACACACACACGCCCGTGCACACAAACACACACACACACACACACAC